CTAGAGAGAAACTCCTCAGATGGTATTTTAATTCGTTACAAGGAGCAAGATTAGTCACAATGGCTACGAAGGCAACAGTTTTGTGCACTTTCTACTCAGTTAGGCTCAAATCCCAATACAAACCAAATTAAACCAAACCAAACCGCCAAAACCCCCTCAGGTAACCTATCTGCAACTTTTCAGAGTGGAGTACAAAGAATATAAATTAGGCAAAATATTTATGGTATTTTTCTTGCTAGAGTTTCTGGAACAGTTCCTGGAACCTTTTGTAATGAATAGGTTGCACATAAAGAGCACACACAGAAGTCAGTAGGCCAAGGAGAAAGGCTTATGTAAAATGGCTGTTTACTACATTGTGTTTCTAAAGCTATTTCTGACAAAACAAACAGCTTTTATTAGTGAATAAAGATGTGGAGGGAAAACACTGGATCTGGCAACAGGCACTGCGTCTTTTTTATTAAGCTTAACAGGATTTTAAATGGCTTTTTTTTCCCCCCTGTTCTAAAGTCATAAAGCTGCTTGTGATTCTTAGTTGAGGTTGAGGAGTTACGCAAGAACAAAGACATTACTCTTGGAGCACAGTTGTTTTTCTACAACATAAACTTTTATGCTGATAACCTTTTACTTTCCTTTTATTTGTGTATTTCCAGATAACTAAAAAAAAAAACACCCCAACCCACCAACTTGTAATGTCTGAGACAAATTTAAATGTCAGGCACCGATGTTTATGTATGCCTGTAAAATAATTGATTTAGGCTTTCTTTATATGAATTTTTTTCTGGGTGGCTCTAATGTGCCTGTATGATTAATTATGGCCACAAATGAGGGATTTATATTTTGGAAAAGTAAGAGCTTGCAGATTCTACGGCAAGTATTTTCAGTAGAGTAATACAAAATGCTAGGAAATCAGTGTAGGTACAAAAACTGCAAATGGTGCCAAACAAACTGCCCCAATCACCACTTAACAGAATGGAATGAAATTGTAATTTGCCATCAGGATGCCCAGAGGCATTATTAAAATGCTTCTAAGAGGTGAAGTGATAAATAATTTCAAAATTTATTGCAGTGTTTAACACTGAGACCTCTGAAACCAGGTCTGGAACAATGGTTTTGCTTTAGGTACCCAAACTCTTTAGACAGTGAAATGGGAAAATAATGTTCTTGCAGAAGGAGCCACAACAGTCTATGTTTCCTAGGGAAGAACTGCCTAAAATGCTGAAGAATGAGCTAAGATTTAAGTCTTACTCTTCAGAGCTCAGCTTTAATCTGTACTACAGGACTGTTCCTCTTTGCCTAGGATTCATGTCCCTGAGGTGTCCTGGAGGGCAAGTTGCTTCCAAAAGCTGAGCAGTTCTTACATCTTTTTTTTCCCTTTGACAGGCCGTGGGACAAAGTTGTGCCACTGCCACCCTCCCCTACATTTTCTTTTGAAAGAATTCAAATTTGTATCCTCCCTGCCTTCCTTTCCCCAGCAGCAGGCTCCCAGCTCAGCAGACTACACTAGGGAGGAATGCTTGCAGCCCAGCTGAAGCAGAACGTGATTTTTCATGCAATGATTCTGTTGTTATACTCAGAGGGGCTCAAATTGAGAATAATTCTCTACCTTACTGGTTAAAGGCAAGAGTGGGGGGTCCTGTGTTACAGTCCCTGTCCCAGTGAGTCTGCTGTGGAGAATACTAACACAGGACAAGAATTCAGTTATTACTGCTATTATCATGGGATCCAGGAACAGTTAATTATTTAATGCAAATTGGAGCAATTTCAATTAAAAAAAAAAAGGAAGCTTTACTTTGTGGAATATTTTGTAGGTAGGGGCTAGAACAGAGTCTTTGGAAATTAGTCTTATTCCCTGAAGTGTATCTTTGGATAGGAAATACACTGAGTCTTCCACATATTGTGTGCATGCCCTAAAAACTGATTTCAAATGTAAATTGTCTGGAACCAGCTTTACTCTCTGCTGCCCAGAGGCTGAGCCTCAGTTACCAGGGGAACTTTCATGTAGTATGACAGGACAAGAGGACATGGCCTCAATCTGCACCAGGGGAGGTTCAGGTTGGACATCACAGAGAATTTCTTCACTGAAAGGGTGGTCAAGCATTGGAATGGGCTGCCCAGGGAGGTGGGGGAGTTACCATCCCTGGAGGGATAAAGGACAGACTGGACATGGCAATTAGGCCTAGCTGACGAGGTGGTAATTGGTCAAAAGTTGGACTTGATTTTAGAGGTCTTTTCAAAATCCTTCTTTAGGTATGTCTGGATGTATTTGGGTGCCTCATTTACTCGAGTTTGGAATGCCTTGATTCTTTTATACAGAATCACAGAATAATTTAGGTTGGAAAACTGCAGCTCAGAAATATTAATTCAAATTAATTAATTAAGTTAATTCAAACTTACTTAAATAACTGCAGTTATATATACATAGATAAAACAGAAAACAGTTTTTTAATCAAAAGTAACATTGTTTATTATTATGAAATAATAATTTAGTCATATAAAGCAATACAGGTTGGGGTTTCGGAGATGAGATTATTTTGTTTTTCAAGCAGGTAAGATAATTATGTTTTAAATTGAGAACTACAGCTTCTCCAAATGCTTCAACAACCAGATGAACACACAGTTTCTGAGGCATGCCTTATCCCTGATAACAGGAATTACTCATGTGCAAAAGACCCTTAACAGATTTAAGATGTCATGGTAGATCTTACAGTACACTTTTTTTTCTGCCTCAGCTGGACAGTGCATTTGCTGCTGCAACACTGTTCTTCTCTGAGGCACTACCACTGCTGATTCACAGGTTATTTAATTTGCTATCAGAACAATGATACAGCACATAATAACTCTGGATGTTAAAATATATTCTTTCCCCATGTTTAAATATCACTGGGCTAAAAGTCTTCACTTTGAAAAAATACCACATCACGAAAAACCCTGGAGTTTTTCACTCTGTGGCCAAAAATGCCAGAATTGAAACACTGTATACATAGAGGAGAAAAAAACCAATAGAAATGGTAGTTGAGTTTTGTATAATTTCAGTTTATTTTAAGGAGTTATTTGAGAGAATCATAAATTATGCTTTATTTGCATAGTAGATCATAAAAGCACTTCATGATAACATTTGTGCTTGTGGTTTGCACACTAATAAAGTGTGATTACAATTCCAGGTTACCGTAACATTCCGCTGCTGACCAAAGACGGCGTCAAGATCGAATCTGCGTCGCTGTTTGCCCATGTCTGGTACTACTAATGGTGTTCTGCAGCAGGAATTGTCCTGGGGCATGGCAACCCGCTTCAATAAAGTAGCATTCCTGGGTTTGCAGTGACCCAGTGGTCTGATTTCCAGAGTGGCATGTTCTCAATGATTTTATGAAGATAATGGGACTTCTTGTGTAAGTGGTACCTGGATCAGTAACAGCTACTGATGTTGGCCCTGCTGCTATTATGGAACTGTCTGCTCTAGGAGAAGAATGTCCAAGAACTTAAATTTAAGGGATCTGAAGGTGCACAAGTCCATAGACCTGACAGGGTACATCCACAGGTCCTGAGGGAACTGACTCAGGAAGTAGCTTAGCTGCTATCCATCATATCTGAGAAGTCATGGCAGGCCAGTGAAGTTCCCACTGACTGGAAAAGGGGAAACATAAGCCACATTTTTCAAAAGGGAAATAAGGAACACATAGGGAACTACAGGCTGGTCAGTCTCAGAGAGACTTGGGATGTTCTTGGGGATGTTGGTTGACAAGAACATCAACATGACCTGGCATCCCAGAAGGCCAACAGAATCCTGGTTGTATCCAAAGCACACCCACCAGCAGGTCGAGGGAGGAGACCCCACCTGCATCCAGCTCTGGGACCCCAACAAGAGAAAGATGGAGCACCTGTTGGAGAGAGTCCAGAGGAGGCCATAAAGATGATGAGAGGGATGAAGCACCTCTGCTCTGTAGACAGGCTGAGAGAGTTGGGGTTGTAGCAATGGAAAAAGGGGGGGATGGCTTTAAACTGAAACAAGGCAGGGTTAGATTAGATATCAGGAAGAAATCCTTTACTGAGTAGTGAGGCACTGAGGTTTCCAGAGAAATTGTGGACTCCCCGTCCCTGGAAGTGTTCAAGATCAGGGTAAAGGCGGCTTTGAGGAACCTGATCTAGTGGAAGGTGTCCCTGCCCATGGCAGGAAGGTGGGAACTACATGATCTTTAAGGATCCCTCCAACACAAACCGTTCTATGACTCCGTGACTCTATGATTCTTTAGAAACAATTCATAAATACAGAACTTTTTTGTATATTTTTAAAATTCAGTCAATAATGTAATTTTTAGCTAATTTCAAATTTATGATTAATTACTGAGAATAATAGTCTAATATATAAGCTCTGAGAAATAAGGCTAATTTTTACAATATGAGCATGTTACATTGACATTTTCAATTGTGTTGAACAAAATTTCTTGGCATTGTATCTTTCCAAGAGAATAGGAAAAACTACACATACAATGTACCCTTTACATTTATAACAACAGCAGCTTCCAGCTGGGCTATTCCTCCTTAATGTTCACTGTAATTTTGTTACCTGAAAAAAATAGTTTTGAGGAAAAAAGTAGCTCTTAAAATAATAAAAAAATCATATGCTAATACTGGTACCTTTTCTTAGCTTAGTCTTGAACCTCCTTCTGCTAAAGAAAGACAAAAAAATTCATGGACTGATTTGTAAAGGCCCATGTTCCTCATAGCAGCAGGGAGCTCAGGATACATCTTACTGTGAACTCAGGAAATAGGAAGCACAGTACTTTGAGGAGAACTTGAAAAATTTTAGAAAAAGCAAGAGTTGATTGTGTGATTTAAGATCTACTTCTCACCTAAGAGATATCAGTGTAGATCTTGCCTGTAACACAAAATCTTCCCATCTTCCTTACAGAACTGAAATATTGTTGACCTTCCACAGGACTATAGCTACTCAATTAATGGCAGATTTTTTATTCAAACATTATTTTATTTTTTAAAAAAAGGATATTAAGTTTACAGCTTTCTTTCTTTAATACCAAACAAAATATTGCTTATATTTGCAGACAGTTGTGATAATATTATATTGTAATGCTCTTTTTATTTATTGCTGTTTTGACGTTATTTTATTTAATGTTGCTCCAAGATGGAAAATCAGGGCATGTGGTAAACAACCATTAGAAAATGTCACAGGAAATAACACTATTAGAAAATTGCATTATAGTTATAATAAGGAAACTAAGACAGTAGACTAAGAGGAATCTAAAATCAATATTGAACTGTAAGGTCAGGTAATTTGGTAACGTGGTAAGCCAGCCTCAATGTGTTTTCTGTGCTTGAATGACAAGGCACTTGATTTCTTACCCAGGTGAGACTATAATCTAAAATGTTAGGCACACTGATCTTTGTAGTGATATCTGTATGCCAGCCAATATCCCTTTTATGTGGTAAATATTTTATAGCTTCTTACAGCTCTCCATATTACTCATACTATTAATATTGAAGCAGAGTTCCCCCCACCTCCTCTTACTGAGGAGGAGCTTAATACAGGAGATTGCCTGGGGAAAATATTCTAAGATTAAAACTGGCCAAGTGACAGAGTCAATTGGTGTGATGCTGAGAAAAACTCCAGCCTATTCTGTTTCCTAAATAACTGGTCCCACTTCAGGAGTTTTATACAACTTTACTTCTGAAGATTCTTTTCTGAGTGTCCTTTGGGAAAAGAAGGTAATTATCTTCACTTCTGACATTATTGTCACTATGTTGACCACTTTTCCACCTGGTAGGACAAATGTCAGACCTACCTGGTATATGGTAACTTAAAATTTTCATCAGAGCAGATCACAAATCAACATTTCTCCTGTGCCTTAAAAATGTGCCCTTGGTCCTGGGAAGGTCTGTATGTGTGGTCAGCTGAGTGTGTGTAAGAGTCTGGCAATAATGGACCATTCATTATGGCTGCTCATATGCCAAATGTTTAAAGATGTGCTTAAGTGCTTCCCCAATTTATGTAAAAATGCCTTAACAACAGAGCCCATAATTGGAACCACTCATGTTCATTATTTAATATGTAAAGATAAGTTTTATAGCCCCGAGGTCAATTCAATGCATGCATTGACTTGAATCCCTTATGCAGCATAAGAAGTAAGCATAGGTGGTAAGACAGGTGAACAAATATTTGTGATATCATGATCTCAAATAAATACCCCACTGAAATCTCACATTCAATATGTTCCATTTATTCATGAGCATTAGCTTCTCCCTCCTCCTTTTTTTCTCACAAATGACCAGTTATAGCTGCTCCTTGGATGTCAGAATAAAAGAAACAATGACACACCTAACTGACAAATGAATACCTTGGATTGTATGTTACATTATAGAAAAAGCTTTTAAGTTGTTTTTTTTTTAAAATAGATTATTGACTGCATAAGATTTAATGTGAAATTTGTCAGACATCTGAAATGTGTTGGCACCCAGGTGCCAGAAAACCATCCATGGTTTTCTGGTGAAATCATCACATCCAGTGGGGTCACAGCAGTTGCTCATAAATTACACCATTATCAGCATTGTTTCAACACAGCCAGTGGAATTAATGTGCAAGGAATGAGGCCCCACACTTTGATGTGCACTGAATTCAGTATTTTTACAGTCCAATTGAATATGAAATAACCAAAAATCTTTATTGCTGTCGCAAGAATTTCCTGCATGCTGCTACAAGTCCTTAGCGTGTGATTTCTTAAACTCACACTGTCAGGAATCTGTTGCAGGAAGATGGTAGCAATTTTAAGACAATAGCCTTATGATTAGAATGTTAAAAACTGTGGTCAGCAGATGACTGCATATTCTCAAGGGCAACTGAGACAAAATGTACCGTGGGAAATGGGATAAAGAAAAATTAGTGGATAAATAACTGAATTATCTCAGAGAACATTTAAATGATACTATTTCCCAGCGGATACCACTTTTCTTCGTTTAACTGGACGCTGCTCAGTTGGATGTTAACAGCTCCCACAAAAGTTCCTTTGCTTTTCACAACAAGCTTCAGTACATGGCTTTTGAGCTCCGTGACTTTGTCATACACAACCTGAAATAATATACAATGAAACAGAAAGAAAAATACAAATTTGTTAATCTATTTGAAAAGCAAAGCACTTACTTCAATACAGCATTCAGGATGATGATTACAACTTCATGATAATTGCTTTAAATTTCCATCCAGAATTGTAAACTATTAACCATGAGCCAAAATCACTTAGTGAATTTACCTCAGAAATATATTTGACCTTATCTAGTTTATATAAGAGAGATTCTGCCAGCTTAGGCTTGTGAAATCTGATTACCATTTGTAAATAAATTTGAAAACTGTGTTGTGCAATGCATAAGAAAAAAACCCCAGTATACATAATTTTCCATTTGAAAATTGAAACTCTAACATAAGCAGAGCTTTGAACTCAAACATGAAGAAATATCACAACCTATATGAAGTTCCACAGGGAATCATAACGGGTCTGAATTTGTGGAGGAGAAATTCAGATGGAGGGCGCTCATTATGGACAGTGGCATGAAAACGTAAGATAGGTAATTCTGTAAAAGTGTAGAATTTTTTAATTATTCTATATCTTTCTAGAGTAGATGCTTTGATAAATGGTATTGCTTTTCTGCAAAAATCAGAAAAAGACAGGAAAACAGTTTTGGTGTCAATTTGTTTAACCTATGTATATTTTATTTGTTACATATTCCTCAGTAGCACCTTAAAGCAACTTTCTGTTGCATTAGTATGTGTTACAGAGGTGTGTCACATGAAGGCACAGTGCCTCAGAATGTTTTCCCACTACTGTACTTGGGATTAAATCTTGTGCTACATACCAGAATTAAAAATAAGATCAAGCCAAAGTAAACCTAAACTTTCTTCTATCCAAGACTTCCATAACATTTTGTAACTGTCCTAGATCCAACAGGCCCACATCATAAAAGAGATAAGAATTTTCCTTTGAAAATGGTCTATAAATTTTACTAATTCAATAGGAACAATAATTCAGACATCGAGGCACTGGAGCAAGGCTAGAGAAGGGCAACAGAGCTGGGGAAGGGTCTGGAGCACAAGGCCTGTGAGGAGCAGCGGAGGGAGCTGGGGGTGTTCAGCCTGGAGTAAAGAAGGCTCAGGGGGTCTTATGACTCCACAACTAACTGAGAGAGGTTGTGGTGAGGTGGAGACCAGCCTCCTCTCCCAGGTAACAAGTGACATGGCAAGAAGAAATGGCCTCAAGTTGTGCCAGGGATGGTTTAGATTGGATATTAGGAAATATTTATTCATGGAAATGGTTGTAGAGCACTGGAACAGACTGCACAGGAAAGTGGTGGAGTCACCATTCTTGGAAGTGTTCAAAAATGTGTGGATGTGGCACTTGAGGGCATGGTTTAATGGTGAACACAGTGGTAAGTGCTAAGGTTGGAATTGATGATCTCAAAGGTATTTTTCAAACTTAATGATTCTCTGATTCTAATGCAAATAACTTCATGAATGATTCTAGATGCTAACTATACCCAAATGTGCCTACTATAAAAAGGCTAGAATTTTTTTATGGAATCATCAAATATTAAACATGACAGAATGCTCAACCCACTCCGTAGAAGTTGTAGATGTCGAACACCTCTGAGATTGAACCCAGTTTAGCAAGTGGAATTTACTCAATTTAGATGTTTCCATTACTCCAGAACTGCTGTTTAATACTTCTCAAAATAAATGAGACAGTTGTTTGGCATCTCTTTAGAAAAGTACTAAGGTCTATAATTTTTAAAGTATCTTTTAAATTACCTTGATACTGTGAGAACACAATGAGGTTAAATATGAAATGTTAATGGTGTATTTTTTGAACTTAAAAACCCTCTACCAATCTGGAGCGATAGGCTAACAAGAATGACCTGCACTCAGATCAGATTCCCATGCTTCAGTCTCTGCATTAACCAAAAACTGCTGAGTGAACTGCATGTGGGCTGAAAAAATGTGAAAGAATGCTCTCAGCTGGTTCAGGCCTGAAAGGTAAGCTTTGTTAAGAGAAGTACATTCAATCTAAAATTTGTATGGCTGGAAATGTTTTTGCTATTTTAGTTGCAAAGGGAGAACGCTTTAAATTTAATCTCGCTGTGCAGTTTAAACAGCAAACGCAGTGGCAGTCTGTCACTTCTGGGGAATGGGAAACTGAAACTGCCTGAAAGGTGTTTGCCACACAACCTGCTTGGATTTTCTGTGCAATCCAAGTGCAGGCTGTACCTGTGGCACTGCTGAGGAAACAAAGCTCCCTCTAGCTTGGAGCTCTGTGGGCTGAACTGCTGAGCCCTCGCTGCACCTCCACTCGTAAGGGAAAGAAACAGTCGTGGGAGATGTCCTTCAGGCAGGGACAGTTTATAAAGGCTCACCCCCAGCAACGTTCTTCATGCTGAGTGGCAACAGAAAGGTGGTTCTGAGGATCACGGGTGGACCTGGGAGGCGCAAAACTGCTGGTTCTCCCACCCGACTCAAGTTGGCTTTGGCTGCCTTTTGGGTTTCGTCTGCACTGCAGTTTGGGGGGATTTCACAGGGAGCATGGAACAGACAGGACACCAGGGAACTCTGGCAGCAAACACTGACAGACAGGACATCCCCATCTCTGGTTTAAGGGGATAATTGGTGCTGTGGCGATGAACATTTAGTGCCACAGGTTGTGGGGGAAAGAAAAACTGTCCCGCTCAGTCTTTTTAAGTGGCTTTTACTAGAAAGATCTTACCAGGGGGCAACATTTCTATTTAGAAACCTTGGAAATCACGGTTTGGAACAGCTGTCATGAAAGTCGCACCTGGTACTTTTCAGTTTTTTGATGTTTACTGTAGCTATTTTGCCAAATTGTACATGATTTAAAAATTCCAGCTTCTCTGTCCCCCAGTTGCCTTTGCCCACCAAAATAAAACTGAAATGATGAAAAAAAATCCGAAAAGCAAGGGCAAGTATAGTAAGTGATAATATAATTTACAGTAAATCTATGATCTGACACTGGAGCAATGCTAATGTTACCAAAGAAAGCTGCCTTGTTTCTTTGCCAATATATTAAAGATACCAGCTGCTGCTTTAAATCAACAAAAAGTATACATGTAAGCTGTAAAAGCTAAGAAATCTTCAGTATGGTCGATCACAACAGGCGTGAACTTGGGTAATGAACAACTTTCAATCTTTGGCCAAAAAGAGTTAAAAAAAAAAAGCTTTGAGCAATGACAGACCTTTACAGTGCAGGGTGGGTGGTTTTCAAATGATCCCAGTAAACTGTTTCTAAAATGCTATTGCAAATTCAGCTGGAGCAAGGCATATATCATCAGGATGTAGGGACAGAAGGCAGGTCTGGAGATAGTTGAATTACTCTGTGGGTAAAACGAATGCCACCTGCCAGGATTTTGTACCGCAACAGTTAAATCCTGAAATGATTGTGCAGTAAGAATATTTACCTGCCATTTATACAGCTGGATCAGATGGAGGTGAGTTATGCATGTCCATGCAGCAAAGCAGTGGGACAGTTAGGGCTGGAATTCAAGTACTCCTGGCTCCAAAAAGAGAAGCACTGTTGACCTACAGGAGTCTAATGACATTTTAATCACAAATGCGGGACAGTTGCTTCTCCTTAGGTAGCCATGGCACAGTTCCTAGATTTGAGTAATTAATCCAAATTAGCTTTGATGCGTGGTGCCGGAGGGAGTGGCTGTGGCTCCTGGTGCAGTTCCCCTCCTCCCTCTCCATCAGACTTGCTGGGGCTGTTCAGGCTGCTCCAGGCCAGCTCCCCCTCAGCTCCAACAGACTGCTGTGGCCCAGGTCGATGTGCCCACATCTGGCTGTACCCAAGGGGCAGGACAGAGAGAGTGCCCTCTTGTTATGGAATGCACACTCTGCCTTGCCTTGTAGCTTCACTCATTCCATGTCTGTGCTTCCATGCAGGAACTCAGGAGAGGACAACCAAGAACCCTGAAGCATCTCTCGGGGCAATGGTTACACATACGAGCAAGGACTCACTGCAGCTGGATCTGGGCATTGTGGCTTCTCCTGGCAAGAGCTTAGTCACTCAGGTTTATTTTTAATTCTTTCTTTTAACTTAGTTTTTACTAAACTACTCTGAAACCTCCTGAATACACTCCTTTTTATTCCTAAATGTATTTTATAACAGGTATGTTATTAATTTTCTCTTTGCATTCCATTTTTCTGTGAATCTACTCTTTTTGCCAGCCATCATTTTTTAATGCAATGTTAGACTAGTGTGAATGCCACAAACTCCAAAATACAAATACAGGAAAAAGAATAAAAAAAGGAGTTCCTGTTAAAAGCAGCTCCAAAACATTTGGCGTAGCTCATTTTATTGTCAGCCCTCCTGGACTTTCACATCTCTCTCACACACATAAGTAAAAATCAAACATAAAAAGCACTTTTGCAAGGTTGATAATTTGCTGTAGGCAGTCATAAGCAATAGAAGTAAAAAACTAAAATAAAAAATACCCAAGAGAAGCACATTTCAGATTTTTCTCAGTCTCGAACAAAGAAAGAAATTAATATACAGCTTCCTTCCAGCCACTTGGCTTTAATAAAAACTTATGAACTCATAAAAAGGCTAGTACGTTTCTGTACACAGTGTTTTGTACAGTAACTAACTTAAAGGCAGCTGACTTTTATTTTTAGTAGTTTTTCTTCCCTGGGGCAGCTTTTGCCTCAGTCTACCAGCCTTGGACAGAAAATGCATACAGAATGACATCACATATGGGAGAACAGAGCCACAGCACAGGCATTGGGTTTGAAATGTCCAAGTTCAATGGAACCATATGTCCCCACTGTGATTAGCAGTTCCTGGTGAAAAAGATTGAGCATCTGTGAAAAAGGCTCTAAATTTTGATTAAGGATATTAAAGTTTTCATGGAATTTCTTTTAACAGCAGCAAGTACTCTTTTAACCACAATGAAATCTCCTCCCTGTGATTACTGTCTGACTGCAGACAGGATTTTGGATTTTCTTATATTCAAACTGATCTAATAATGATTTGAAAGTAATTGTCTTCCTGTGTTGCTGGTTGGTTCTTATCTGTAGTCCATCTTGGATATTTTACAACTAATGTTGTGATACATCCTATTGTATTTCTTTGCTTTAAATATCCTTCAAATGTAAAGGAATTTCTTTAGACAGGTGAATTAGACCCACTCCACTCTCTCTTTGATTGCAAAAGAAGAAAGAAATAACAAAAAATAAAACCTAGTTCTTTGTTATTCCACTGCAGTACCGTAGGGAGGGAAATTTGTCTCAGCTGTGAGCAGCACTACTACTCAAGGAGCCTTCTTACAGAAGCACTGGAAGTCATCAGTGTAAGTAGGTAAGTTTTGTAATCACTTGGATGTGGGAAAAGAGAAATATTAAAACTCCAGGACTGGGAAACTAGGAGATAAGGACTCAGACTCTGCTGACTAACCTAAGCTTCATCATATCTTATCTATGAAACAGGGTGGAGTGGTAATATTTTCCATGCGTTCTACTTTATAGCCTGCTGAAAGAGCATTTGTAAATTGCTTTGAGATCTTTAGGAGATTTATTATATGTAATAATTATAATCTCCAATCCCACCTACTGTTTCAATCTCATCTGCCTTTACAAATGAACAGTTTATGCCACTTCCCATTCTGTCATAAATGTTTCCTCATAAAAATGTTTCCTTTCACCCCAGAGGCTTGAGCACTTCAGTGGTGTGTGAAATAATCATATATAGCTGTGAACTGCTAGTATTTTGACATAAAAAGAATCTGGCTATTTATTCTTGTGTTATCATTTAGGACAGTGACAACCAATTTTCAAATGTGAATTTGAATAACAGTATCCACTCCATTAGTACTCTTCATGCTATTGTACAAACCTGCATTCAAAACTGACTAGGTTATGGTGCAATGATGCTTGGTTTCATTTGGCTAAAATGTGGTAATGGGTAAGATAGAGCAGTGTGAAAAATCCAGCTGTTTTCCTGAAAAGACAGACATAAAAGAGACTGTCTCAGTTCTGAGAAAGATGCACAGCCCGCTTGTGGTTCAGCTCATGATATGTTCCTTCTTTCTGATCATCCTCATTGCAACAGCTCTAAAAGCTGAATTGTTATAATTTTATTTCAAGAGTGGGCAAAGAAAATCAAACAAGTTGCACCAGCACAGGCTGGGGACCGACCTGCTGGGAAGGAGCTCTGCAGAGAAGAACCTGGGGCTTGTGGTGGACAACAAGCTGCTGCTGAGGGGAGCTCATCAGTGGCTGTCAGTGTCTGAAGGGACGTGTCACAGGATGGACCAGGCTCTGCTCGGGGTGCTGAGCAATAGCACAAGAGGCAATGGGCAGAAACTGATGCACAGAAAATTCTACCTGAGCATGAGGAAGAACTTCTGTACTGTGAGGGTGACCGTGCACAGGAACAGGTTGCCCAGAGATGTTGTGGAGTCTCCCTCATGGGACATATTCAAGAACTATCTGGACACAATCCTGTTCAGTGTGGTCTGGGATGCCCCTGTTTGAGAGAGGGAAGGTTGGACCAGATGATCCACTGTGGTCCCTTCCAACATGACCCATTCTGTGATTCTGTGAAATAAGAAATGATAGAAGAAAGTGAATGGTACTCACGATTTCATTGTAAGTAGGGTCAGAGCTTTTTGGAGCTGTTCTTGTTTTCCTTCGACTGACCTCATAAGGATCTGGCAGAAGATAAAATTCAGCGTGTGCACTTGGGGCAGAGCCATCTGGGAGGTGCTGAAAAACAAAAAGGTCATAATATGAATGCCCATGGTCTAGCAAAGAAAACAAATAAAAAGTACCAAATGAAATCTGGATTTTAGGCAGACACAGAAACATGTTAGATTCTCAGTGTTCTCTTGGCTAAATTGGAGTCCTAGTGCAGTAAATAACAGGAATTATTAGAATTCAGCTTAAAATTGAATCAATAATAGAAATTAAATAATACAAGGACAAGGTAAAATTGCCTATCTTTAAAATCATACATTCTGATGGAAAAACCCTTAAGCCTCAATCTACTTTAACTCAGCTTAATCTGATACAAAGTCTAGCCCTTCCACTTTCCACAGCAATGCATTGCCAGAGAAACTGGATTTTAGCCAGTAGGCTCCTACTGGTGTTAACCCCTAAGTATCAGTGCTGATGCTGGGTAGAGCTGATTGTTTCTAAGGGTATTTCATAGAACATATTACTATAGAAGAGCCAGGAGCAGTTCCTGCAGCAATATGGGCAGAACAGGATTCTTATAATAACAGTCTTTCCAATCTCACCCATCACACAGCTGCAATCTCTCTTTAATTTTCCAGTTCAGGTTACTGAACCATATTGCAGATATTCCCTCTTATAGTAGCTACTCGAGATCACAGCCAATCTATTAACCAGGCTCAGTCATAACCCAGTGCTGGTGGGTGGAGAGCTTTTTGATAACTTCTGAAGAGCTGTAAGGTTATTCCTAAAGGAGCATTAGAATTACTTGAGGCTTCAAAAGAACACACAAGAAACATAATAATGAAAAACCGTGGAGCAGGTATTTTGCCAGCACATGTCACTTAGTGCTTCCCTTATAATTAAGCACAAACCCTTGTGTTGGTTACACAGTACATGATCAGAAAGCACAAAATGGGGCATATCAAAATATCAGTAATTTTAATCATAGAATTTTAATTTAATCATAGCATTTTAAGCAGCAGGTTTACCTGGCAGCTCGCAGGCAATCCAGTGACAGGATGCAAATAAAAACACAGGAAAAAAAGAAGAGATCTTAAAACATTTGTAACCAACAAACCCAGAGTATTATACAGGCACTTGCATTTATATTTCCCACTGTAATTTTACACCTGGCTCACAAGAAAGTAATTTCTCAGATTTTGATTATTCACGGTATGTGTCTGGAAATGTGGGGCTTTCTACAGGCATTATCAACAACATATCCCTGGGACAGGAGAAACCACGGTCTCCTAGCAATAAATAACATCTCTATGGGGAAGGAAAACACTGCTTGTGCGTGTGAGCAACCAGTGCTTGCACAACAAACCTCTGGTTTTTGTTATCTGAAATGATCCTTCAAGGCAAATGATGTGGTCAGCTGCAAAGCTTATTACTGGTATCGTTAACACAACACAGCATCAAAGGATGCACTACTCAAATCATTACACATTGTCAGCACTATGTGAGTGATTAATATCACTATTGGTAAGCCCCCCCCAAAGTACATCTGATTTAAAATGCACATGGGATTTAGATAGATGGGATTCAATGTCTGACATAAGAAAGCCATTAAAGGCCAATGAAAGTAACGGGTATTTTCCTAGGACAGAGTAGCTCATTGCTAATGCAGGATTTATAACTAACACTGCCCATTTGAAAGCACGTCTCTCTTGATCTAGGACTGTACTAAAACTTCAGTCGAGGATTACAAGTAACAGTAAATTGAACATCTCTTAAAAATCAGGAAGGAGAAAGAAATGTAGCCTTAAATACCAGTTCAAGCAACCACGATCGTAACTGTAATCAAGCTCTTCCCTTCTCAATGAATAGGTAAATATCACTGCATCTTGAAGCTCAATTCATTTTAGTTGTTTCAGACAAAGAAGGGAACTTGGTTAAATAAAAAGGAAAAAAAAAAGGGTCATTCTTGACTAAGACCTTATGAGCACAACTGCTGAAGCCCAGCACTACGATCTTCACTATCTCCAGTGTGGAAATACAGCACAGGGAGAGTCCCATAAAATGCCAGGCTTTATGAATCATCCCAGCAGTGTGTTGCCTAACCAGGGACCATGCCAGAGCTAATTTTGAAAGCTGAGGTCAGCAGCAGCTGCAAAGGGCACCAGGCTGGGGAGCCCAGGTAGTAGGTAACAGGTGACAAAGGTAACGTGGCTGCACCTGTCCCATCCTCTCCCTTCGAGCTGCCCAGGTAGGACAGGACAGGGTGTAGCCACAAGTGCTGTGCCCCACTGCACACCCTCAGACAGCAAGGGCACAGATCATGGCATTGTTGTTTGAACTGGAAACAGGCTCAGCCTGACATTCACCTGCCAGGGAAAGAATAAAAGCTGATTGCCAGGAGATTGCTTAACAGGACCCGGGTATCCAGAAGTGGATGCGATGAATCAAAAAGAAGTCAGATACAATTGTCACTACGCCTTTGAGTTGCTCTTTGGCATATTACCTACCCTTCAGCCAACTAACCTTCCTCTGTAGCTGACTCCTCCCAAAATCTAAAGAAGGCACTTTGCAGCAGTGCTTTGGCCACATGAAACATGGACTGAAAACTGCTTCCTCACTTTTCCTTTGAATGTAGCTAAATACATGTTGAAAGAGACGAGTGGGAGGAGAGGGTCAAGAGAGAAAAATCAAAAAAGAGAATATTTTAGAAATTCAGAGGGGGAAACTCAAGGCAGAGCAGTTGCTCTGGGATATTTCAAAACTAAAATAAAGCCACTTTTCATGAATAGTAGCAATCAGCAGCCAGAGTGTTAGAGGTAATTTCAACTGCAGCCACAAGAATTCCAACTAGAGATCTTAGTTCTGGTTGTTGGGTGTAGGTTTTCTTCCTCTACCCTGCTTTACAGGTGACATTTTCACACTTCATCTTCCCTTGCCAAGAAAAGGCAAAGAGCCCACTCCAAATTCCACAACTGTCCCAATTCTCCATTTCCAGTGGCACTGTTATGCCATCAAAGAAGGAAAAAAGCTTCAGCTGAACACTCTTTCAGCCAGATCACATCTCCCACTTCTCAGCTGCCCTCCCCTGACTCCTGATATGACATAACACATCTAATTAAGGACTTCAACAGTTATAAAGGTTCTGGGCCACCACACACTTATAATGCAAAACTACAGATGGCCAAGCCATGGCCTTACAGGAGCAGAATATGGGTAGCTTGTATGATAAGTTTATGGTGGTTTCTCTTTAGATTGGCATAACAGTTGAATTTTTTTCTTGTGAAGAGCCTGCTTCACCAGAGGATTTATTGAGGCAAGACTTTGCAGGGGAAGGAACTGTACTTTGCTAGACACTCCCTAGGAAGGACAAGGAGTGATCTTGGCAGTCTGACAATCATAGTGCAAAAACAAGAGTGGGATAAACATGGCAGAAATATCTTTTTAAATCTTAAGTAGGTGGAATTTGAAGTTTTATTACGACAACTGACATAACAGGCAAAAAACCTCAAGGTTTTGGGCAAGCTAGTTCTTTCCCAGGTTTCATATATGAGTTGAGCACTGAATTAAAGAAGAATGAAGAATAAAGGAAAAATGGCGGAAAACACCTGAAATATTTTTCTTCCTAAAGATTATGTCTTCTGTCACATTTAGTGAGCAAACTCTCTGGATTGTCCTTTCACTTCTAACTGAGACTGCACTGACACATTTATAAATTTAGGCAAATATGAAGAATGCCTGACCCAAATCACAGAATCATGGACTGGGTCAGGTTGGAAGAGACCACAGTGGGTCATCTGGTCCAACCTCCTGCTCAGGCAGGGTCATCCCAGAGCACATGGCACAGAATTGCATCCAGATGGTTCTGGAATATCTCCAGTGAGGGACACTCCACACCCTCTCTGGGCAATCTGTTCCAGTGCTCGGTCACTGCACAGCAAAGAAGTTCCTCCTCATGTTCAGGTGGAACTTCTGCCTTTGCACCAAAGATAATCTGTTCTGGTGAGCCCATTATAAACACAGGGTGAGATTTCTTTCTGAAACCCAGAAAACCCCCCCTTTTTTTTATTATTAAAGAATAAAAAAAAAAAAAAAATCACTGATTTCTGTCCATAGTCCAGGCCAGAAGGAAAATCAAAGGGTACCTTGGGAACGACCTTTTGCACTTTACTCTGCAACATCTTTGCACCTTGAATGAACTTCTGATCAAGCAAACAGAAAACACCTCAAAGTTTTAGACTGAATTCTATTTATGTTTCAGTCTGTAGTCATTTCATTAACCCCAAAATAAAGGATTTTTACTTCCTTCAGAAGAAGCTAATCCCAATTTAAATTACTGTCTTAAATCTTTGATTGTGTATGCTTGCGAATAAATCCAAGCCATAAAAATCTGTAAGGCTGCAAGGGTATAAAACCAAGCTCCCAACAGAAATGCCACAGGCCCTCTTGATATGCCTGTGGACAAAACAACCACAAAAAAACCCACTGATTTTAATCTCCCAATAAAAAAATTTGAATTTAGAAGCTGACTCCCTGTGCGTCCTACAAATACAAACAAGTGATGATGGAATAATTTTCTCAGAGAATGACCAGCCTACCTGACCTTGATAATGACAGATGTTTTTAAGGAACTCAGTTACCACTGCCTGTATATATGTTTAAAAAAGCAGTTTATTTTATTTTTTTTTTCCTAAAGTCAGGCAGAAGGTGATAGAAATATTTAAGAATGAGTGGGAGTGAGGGAGAGGAAATAATACTCTGGATTTACTACTTTCCACATCTCTAATTCAATACAGACCTGTATCTGTTATGGCTATGTTCCATTTTTCACTTCAGTTTTATTTTACAAAACCAAAAAAGTTGGTATTTACTTACAGAAGCCCACACTGATAGGTTATGTTCTGTGTAATTTAATTTTAAATATAGTAGCTGTAGCTGGGAAATAATATATGAAATTCAATTAATTTTTCCACAAGAATTGTATTATCCTAATGACTTTTCTCCCTTGACCGTTACTAATAATCCATAACTCTCCTAACACAAGGATTCTTTGTTAGCATTACAATAGGCCT